GGCTGGTTGTGGCCCACAATGTGGTTGGATCTGGCCTGTGAGGCCATCCTGGAAAATATAAGGGGCCGGCCTGTGTTGCTTTGGCCCAGTCTACCGGTATCACTTCAGCCCAGTCTATCCACGTCATTTCGGCCGGTTTACCCAATGCAAAGAGGAAACATCAGGCCAGCGTGGCTTTGGCCCGGTCTACTGAATGGGAAGAGGAAACATGCTAGGAGTTTGGGAAGTGGCATCAAACTGGCCACGCCCACCCAGTCAGCCACATCCAATGAGTGGTGCTATGTCCACCCAGTTGCCCCCCTGTGCCTGGCCCCCTGAGGTCAACCACAACCCTGATGAAATTGAGTTTGACACCCCTGGTCTATAGAGATAAATGGAAACAACCAAGATATTTGTTTAATTGTGACCGGATATCCATGTCTTCTCCAGCTTTAACCACCAAACCTTGCAAAGATATTACTGCAGACAAATAGTACTTATTTTACCCATCATCATATGAAATTTTCTTTTGGGTTTTCGACTAACTCATTATAAGTGATGCAAATGCATTTAAGCATTTTATGTGCTGTTTGCAGTTGACTATTCTTATACTACAGGTATAAGATATAGTAATAATAAAAGGTGGCTTAGAATCTTTAAATCCTATTTTATTATTTCTAAATTCTTTAATGGCAGATTAGAAAGCAAGATCCTACTCTATTATAAAATGATACAAAATGGGACATGATTCACTTAGCAACCGCCTTGCTTAGCAACAGAAAAGTTGGGATCAACTGGGGTCAAGGATTACCTGTATTTTCAACATTGGTGGGAACTGCAGATGTAATGGCTTGTCTTTTTTTATTATTACTCTTGTACCAGTTAGCCTTGAAAACAGATGATGGACATTATCTAGCTGTAAAAGATAAATTGAGTTTATTGTTATATAATTAAATCAAGCATTAGGAATTGAATCCCTGACTTCAAACAAGGCTATTTAAAACTTGTAATTTTTAAATTGTTGAATCAGATAAAACTCATGGCTTAGTGTTGCACGGAACCTTGTCGGAAAAAAATTGAAAAGACTAGTTTAAGAATTTGTTATAAGCACACAGGAAGCGCATTAACATATATGCTAATTTTTTAAAAAAATGCTTTCATGATTTCTGAATATCAGATATCCTTTGCAGACTGAAAAGCAATTTTAGTTACCATGCTTATCATAATTCTGTAATATGGTATTCATTATTTTGTCTTAAATCCTTCTCTCATCCTGCTGTCAGGTTTACTATTTAAAAGACAAAAGAAAGAGAGTTTGAAAATGAAGAGGAGAAGAAACTCTCAGGCACTCGTTCTTATTTATGCAGTTAATATAACTAGCTAGAATGCATACAATACCTTGTTCTTAGGGATCAGACAGAGGCACTGGCCCGATGTCACCCATTGGTTTTGTGCCTAAAATGGGATAAGAATTCATGATCTCCTAAATTCTAAGCTGATATCTTCACTACTATCCAAAGTGTGCCTTTGTATTCCCACTAAATCTGATCCGTTCCAACATGTATCACTTTCCTTTGTTATTATTTCTCTTAACCCTTCTCCCAATTGGCTAGAATGATCTGATATGCTAAAATCATCCAAACTTTTATGGCTGATAATGAATAACTTTTCCAATCATTCCTGGAAACTGTCCAGATAGAGAATTTGCAATGACCGAAAGCAAATAATTCCTTTGTTTTTCTTTTCTTTGTCTTTTTCCTTCTTTAATCTTTTGATCCTAGCAACTGGACCAGGAAGATATCTATGGAGATTCTAAGTCATCCAGGTCATGGTTGTCCCAATAGTGCTTTTTCAAAAGGCAACTGGACTTTCTTTGTTTTTGCTTGAAGATGTTTCGCTTCTCATCCAAGAAGTTTCTTCAGTTCTGAATATAAATCCTTCCACCCTCCAGTCGGAACTAAAGAAGCTTCTTGGATGAGAAGCAGAACATCTTCAAGGAAAAGCAGGAAAGTCCAGTTACCTTTCGAAAAAGCATCTGTGTGCCAGGAAGACTGTTTGAGTGTGTAGAAGGAAATAGTGCAGAATTTCCTTGAACATGTACAACAGATGTAAACATGGTTAAAAAAACTAGAGAATCAGTGGTTTAAATTGTTTCAGGCACAACACTAAATGAAGTTTACTCGGTTAATAGCAAAATGAAATTTGTTCAGGGTGGTTTGTGAAATTCTTGGACATCACCTTTTAGTATCTTCCTCTTCCACTGATTATCACATTTGGTAGAAGTTTTTGGGTGAGTGTGAGTAAGAGCTGAAAACATTAATGCCTTGGCAACCCAATTTCACATTGGAATTGTACAGAAGTTGAAGCCCTTATGTTTCAAGCAAGTTACAATAGAATAACAGAGTTGGAAGGGACCTTGGAGGTATTCTAGTCCAACTCCCTGCTCATGCAGGAAACCCTAGATTTCTTTCTCCTTCTCCTCCTTCTTCTCCTTCTTCTCTTTTTATGTATGTTTTGAAAACTTTTAACCACCACCACCAGGGTTTAGTTGTTGATGATTATGCTTTGCATTCCTCTGTGCATTGGCATTTGTAAAACCTGATGTCATTTTAGAGCAGTTATAAAATGTTGTGAATTTACAGCATTGGGAAAGAGCTGTGATTTAAATGAAACCAGGCCTGGTGGAATTCATTGAAAATACTCATCAGTCTTTATGCACACAATATTCTGAGTTTATTTGAAATGTCCTCTGAACAAAACAAAAATTACAATGATTTGCACCAGGGACACAATCCATCAAGAAGACTTGTTCAAACCGTACTGGGATGAATGTTTGTGCTCTGGTGCAAATCCCAATCATTACAGCACAGAATAACATCCCAGGGGATCCTCACAGAATGATTGCTTTGATGCTAGCATAGCCTTCCGCAATTTAATGTCTTCTAGATGTGTTGGACTTAACACCCATAATCCTCCATCCAGCCTGGGGATTTAGGGGATTTAAAGTCCAATGCTTCTGAAAGGCAAGTTGCAGAATATTATGCAGGATTTATGCTAGCAGTAGTTTACTCTCTTAGCCACAATGATTATGCTGTATCACAAAGTAAGGATATTTGGAATGGATTGATACCGACAATGGCAATGGAAGTTTGGGAGGAATGGAGATTAGTCCATATGGGCACAAATGATGATAACCATGGCATATAAAAGGTTGCATAAATGCAAAAGAAAGGAAAGAGAAAGAAATAAAAAGAAAGAAAGAGAAAGAAACAAAGAAAGAAACAAAGAAGAAACAAAGAAAAGCAGTTATATTGTACAATATGTCTAAAACTAAGAAATGAAAATGGTAATAGATCTGAATGAAGATTGTCTGATATTATGGAGTGGAGCAGAAAGTATAGGCTTCCTGACATTAAACATTAGTATTTTTAACCTGTAACTGCCATTGAAGAACCAGTTTCATCATGGGAATAATGTCTAACCAAAACAAGAATTACAAGTGGACAGACACATAATATATGCACCTATTTTAATTCAATTGTACTGCATTCTCAGCACAAAATCAATGAGTCAGCTTTTTTTTTAAAAAAAACAATCTCTTTGAAGTCTGCAATGGAACTGTATCTTCGTGGAGGGAAGTAAGCAGTGGAGTACCCCAAGAATCTGTTTTAGGCCCAGTACTCTTCAACATCTTCATCAATGATTTAGATGAGGGAAGAAATGGGGAGCTCAACAAATTTGCAGATGACACCAAACTGGCAGGAATACTGAACACTCCAGAAGATAGACTTAAGATACAGAAGNTTAAAAATGACACTATCAGTTGCATACAAGGAAAATCAGTACAAAATGATGGCACCTGGCACCAACAACGTTAGGTAAAATTTCAACAAATACCTCCCCAAAATGCTGGAAATGTGAATCAATACACGGAACATACTACCACTTGGATAGGAGTATAAATCCTTCTGTTTCCCTCAATCCAGTCAGAGCTGAAGAAGCTTCTTGATTGAGAAGCAAAATGTCTTCAAAGAAAAACCAGAAAGTCCAGTTGCCTCTTGGGAAAAAAAAACACCTTTGGGACAAAAACTTAAATAGCAAATTGCCTGTGGATCCAAACCAAAGTATCTTAAACAATGTGAAACTCAACATGGAACACAGTGAGGCAACACATAGATGACTAATTTATCATATTTTAATCTAAAATCCTTCCTGGAGCTCTGTTTCTGATAAATATTTTGGAAGTTTATCATGCTGGAAAGAGAATAAAAATGCATGCTCCAAATGAGGATGGAGATACAAAAGCTATAACTTATGATGGTTGCTCCCTTGAGGGGAGAAAATTAAAGTCTTGGTTTCTGAGTCTGACAAACCTCTCTCCAAACCAGAGTGACCTTGTACTTCAATCCAGCCTTTAACACAAATTCATGGATACAATTTTGCTGTTATTGCAGTCACATCTTATCATTGGCCAACATGCATTTCCCCCTGTAATTTCTGTGTTGTCTTGTATTCCTGCAACACCCCTCCACCCATTTTACTTTTTATTCTTCTAATTTTCTTCCTCACAGGGTCTCCTGTAATAAATTTATCCAACTTTGAATCTCTCTTGTTTCAAAATCCATCCTTTCCCTTTGCTAAAGGCATCTCAGTTGTTCATTTTGTTTAAAGACAACACATTTACAATTATGCTAAGGGTTTTATTACTTAATTTTCTTCTCTCATTTATTTAATGAAAATAATTTATTACTTATTCATAGATGTTGGGTGCAAGGCATAATAATGTCCAATGCAATATCAAGTCATAACACAAATGATGTAGATAATGAAATTTGCATCAATTCTTGAGCAATCAGTGTAGATTATAATGTTACATAGATGTCATTTTTCCAATAATTTTGTGATACATGTAATGTAACTTCTCCCATATAATTCTTATTAGCTTTCATTTGTTTTAATTTTATCAATTAATTGAAATACTATCTATCTATCTATCATCTATCTATCTATCTATNGTTTATCAGTAACATAAAGCTGTTGGGTGCAGGTGTATATCCAGAAACCATCTAGTACATAAGCATTCCAATATAGTTCTGGATGGAGTAGCATGCCACATGAAGACCTGTCATTCGGGATACTCCTAGATTCATAACAATTGCTTGTAATGCAGACCATGGTTAATGGGGAATTTATGTTATTTCAGCTGGTGTGCCAGTTGTGACCCTATTTGGAAGAGGCAGAAGGTGAGTGGCCACACAAATCAAATGAATGAATAAATAATATGCATATTATGTGCAAATCAGTTATGCTGTTAGAGCTAAAACTGGATTCTTTCAATTCTTTTAAAAGCCCATATGTTCTTCATTCCTTCTATGTGCAGTGCTGAATGTAAAAGACCATTGGTCTGATTTAATATAAGTCAGCTTCCTAAATTCTATAAAAGTGCACAGACGTGTTTGACTTATACATGCTGAGTTCTAGATAAATTCAAATAGTTTTTCCAGTACTTTATCTTCATTATGGCTTCTACCCCCACTACCTGTGGCTCCTGGGTTTTTTTCTTCATCATTAAAACAAAACTAAAGAGTTTTCCTTCATAAATGTTTTAATCATTTAAAGAAATCCCTTAAGAGACCAAACCAATATTTCATCCAATATAATTCACTGTTTCTCATTCTGTCTGCTTCCCACACATGCCATGTAATACATTAATCTATAATTCATTATTTCAGACTTGGAAAATAATAAAGCAAACACCCTAATTCCATTCTTGAAAGGTAAAACAAAATAATTAAAAGCTATATTTGGTGTTTCTAACCCTAGTCTTAATTTATGTATACCTCATCAAAAATATAGCTAATGTCAAAAAATGCAGAATGAATGGCTTAATACAATTTGGGGAGGCCAATCTGATCAATTAAAATGCAACAATTTTCCCTGCAGAGAAGAGTAGAATATGCTACTGGCCAATTAAAAACTGATCACTCCTACTTTTCAATTGTTGGTCACTTAAGGTCTCAGCTTTTCCATAAAGGATGCAATGCAATAGTTGTTTGTTATTGGAGAATGTATATTGTTTCAAGCAGGTATAATTAACAGTGACTTGTTGAACTCTGATAAAAAAATGCCCTTATCATTTACACCAGGGGTGTAAAAAGGTTGAGGACCACTGTTTTACACCTAGTTCCACTCATTGTTCAAAGCTAATATGAAACTTTTTAGCTCTATATTTGAAGGATAATTTTTGTCCACAGTTGCTTTAATATTCTACTTATATTTCTTCTAAAGAGCACCACTTGGTGCTTCCTTACAATCATTTGAATGAAGATAAGCAGAGGAAGAGTAACCAGATTCTAATAAAGCTGTAAATTTCAAAGCCATGGGAATTATTCAGAATCCCACAACTATTTATTACATAATACTGGTTCAGTGAAAGCATCTGTTTAGAACATATGTGTCAAACTTGCTGCGTCACATTGCCATCACATGATATATCATGACTTTTTTCCTTCCGTGAAACTGGGGTGGGAGTGGCCTGTGCATGATGTATCTGGCCCATGGGCACCAGTTTGACACCCCTGGTTTAGAAGAACCTGACATCGCTTCAATTCATCCTCTATTTGGTGAAACTGATAGTAGCACATCCCACTGCTGGTATCAGGAACAGAGGGTGAAGGGTATAAGGAGGAAGACAATAATCAGAGATGATTTTGAAAATGCCAAAAAATCCATGGGCAATGGGACCCAAGATAGCAGGTTTGATAGTTAGGTGCACATGGAATGCTCTTAGATCAGTGTGTAATAGTATTCTGAAGGAGGGATGATACCAGAAAGGCTGTTGCTGGGCATCATGAAAAGGTCCTATTACAAGATAAAAAGAATGAATGAAAGCAAAATTAGAAAGGCAAACTTATATAAAATATGATCAATGTGTACAATAATAATAAATATAATTTTATTACAGTTTTTAAAACAAGATAAAAACAATGCAAATTGATATAAAGTAAGACAAAAATAAATAAAGTAAAACATTTTACAGGAAGATTAGGTATCAAGGTGTTAATATAAAATCATTATCTGCTGGAAGATTCCACTGTTTTGTTTGTATTAACCATAGTTTTTGATGATGGACACCTATTCTCAACTGTGGCAAACCCTGGAAAAGGGAAAAATTAATATCCGCCCCCACAAAATTTTTTTTAGGAAGGACATGAGGGAAATTGAATGTGTCCCTAAAACTTAACTACTGCTATATTGACACAAGAAAATAAAGGTTAGGACGTTCAAGGTATCTGATTTAAAGGATAGATAAATGTTTTAGGGCACTGGACAGTTTAGGAATTTTAAATATATATGCTATTAGTACCCTTTAAAAATTACTGCATTAATTCTTCCTCAAATGGCTGTCATAATCAGGATGGCTTGTTACAAAATCACCACACAGTAAAATGTGAATTGTAATCTTTTGTCTGGGCAACTGGACTTATTTTCAAACATAGCACTGGACTACAGTAATCCTCATGTCAATTGTCTAAGCATACTTGTTGGTTATGTGGGAACACAAGGGCATTCTTGGAAATAGGATTGGTGCCAGAAAATAACAATTTACATTGCAGGAGGTCAATTTTCTGTAAATTTATTTATCATTAAGTTTTGAAATTAAAGTTAAAGGTGAGTACACAGAATCTAGTAGACACCAAAGATGAAGCTCCCAGCCCATTAGCATCTGGGTGGGTTGAAGTCAGGCCTAAATTAAATCCTGGTTTTCATGAAAAATTGACTCTGGGGTAATATTATTTAAAAATGGCAGAAATGCTTTGGGGTTGGGTGGGGTGGGTGGGTTTAAAACTAGTTGAAAAGGTGAAAATGCTTTAGAGCAGGGGTCTCCAATCTTGGCAACTTTAAGACTTGTGGACTTCAACTCCAAGAATCCCTCAGTCGCTGGCTGAAAGCTCTGGGAGTTGAAGTCCACAAGTCTTAAAGTTGTCAAGGTTGGAGGCCTTGCTTTGGAACATCTTAGTGCCAGTTACCATATTTTTAGAGTATAAGACGCACTTTTTCCCCCTCAAAAAAGAGGCTGAAAATCTGGGTGCGTCTTATACGCTGAATACAGCTTTTTTTTGCCTCCCGAAACCCTGCCCCTTCACCAAAATGGCCGTGCATAGCTTGTAGGAGCTTTCAGAGAGCTCCTGGGGGCTGGGGAGGGCAGAAATGAGCAATTTTGCCCCCCATCCCCAGAAGCACTTTATAAGCTTCCTAATGCCCTTTTTTGGATTTAAAATAGCTTGTTTTTGCAAAAAATGGGTCATTTTTTGCTTTTTCTTGTCCCCCCCCTAGAACACTCTACAAGCCTCCTAAGGCCTATTCATGCCCCCTTTAAAAAAAATAGGCCCATTTTCATGAAAAATGGACCACTTTTTGGGAGGTTTGCAAAGTGCAAAAACTTTTTTTTTTAATTTGCCTCTTCAAAACCTTGGTGCGTCTTATACTATGAAAAATACGGTACATATTTACGCATTTTGAGAGACTATGAAATAACAAACCATGGTTCAAATCTCAGCAAAGTTAGTCAGAATATTTGTAAACTTTTGAATTTGGACCTAATTCATAGGAAATATTATTCAGGTCTTCCTAGACATAAAAGTGGATGTTCAAAAGGAGTGGCTATCTATATTTCTATACAATATTACTCATATATTGGAATAATAATAAATTAGAAAACATATTAACATTTATGATTTTAGCATTTCCACTTGTGGCTGAATATTGGTTTAATGTTCTTAACACAATGAAGAGTTAGATAAGAGAATAATTATCAAATTTAAAGGCACCAGTGGATTTTTAATTGTAACCTACCAATTTATAAATAACTTTGTATTTATACCACTTGAATTGTCACAAAGGGATTATAGGTTTTTTTCTTTAAAAGAGAGTATAGTAATATCCCTGGATCAGAGGTGGTATTCTGCCGGTTTGCACCAGTTCCGGTGAACCAGTAGTGGCGGTGGTGCCGGGCTCCATCCACCCACCCAGACATCATCACGGACCTTCTGCGCATGCCTAGCAGGTTCTGCGCATGCCCAGAAGTGCCGCATGGGAGCACAGCATGTGTGCTAGCATGCACACTCCCACTACCAAACAGGTAGTGAAGAAAAGAGGACACCATTACTGCCCTGGATATTATGGCTGATTTGAAGAAACATATGTGCCTTCATCTTTTAAACTGACTGTCTATCAAAAAAATGACATGGCTAAAATGTTTGAGTCAACATAGTTAAGCTTTGCTTTGTTGATTAAAATGGAATATTTCTTAAAATCTATAATTGACGGTTGATGTGCGGCCTTAATGGACACGGTTTAGGTAGGAAGTGGTTGGTACATTGATAGAGAAAGCACCATCCTGCTGTGTTTGAGCCTTTGCTTTTTAGTCTTCATTTAATTCTTTTATTGTTCTTATATTTATAATTCTTTTTATATTCATATTTTTATTACACAGGAAGCCACCCAGAGTCACTTCTGATATCAAAGTGGCCAATATATAAAACCAGTAAATAAAAAATAAATTGCCCATTTATTGTATTTTTTTTTCTATTTTTAAAAAATCTGTCTAATTTTATGTTTTTGCATTTTTGCACTTTGTATATAGCAGTTAGCAATAGCAGTTAGACTTATATACCGCTTCATAGGGCTTTCAGGCCTCTCTAAGCGGTTTACAGAGTCAGCATATTGCCCCCAACAACAANTTTTTTAACATTTTCTAATGGTGGTGTGCCTCGTGATTTTTTTCATGAAAAAAGTGTGCCTTTGCACAAAAAAGGTTGAAAAACACTGCTTTATTACACTTATACTCCAAACATATGGGAACTCTGGACACTAATAAGAACAACTGTTTACCTTAGTGCATTAAATTACTTAGACCAGAGTTCCCTAACATTTCCAGATTTGTGTACCAGTGCGGGGGGGAGATGGGATGGTTCTAAGTAAATGACTGGCAAGTGTGCATGTGTGCATACAGTTCCATTTGTGTGAGCGGCATGTATACATGTCTGCCACTCATGCAAATGGAACACATGCGCAGCACACTTGTCCACTGTTTGTGAAAGTGAGGGTGCACTTGCAATCCCCCCATGGCCCACAGGTTGGGGACCCCTGACTTAGATGGTTGGGATTTCCATTATTGCTAAATGGCTTAATCAGCCCAATGAAATGATGGTCAGGGGAGGGAACAACGCTATGAAATGGTGACAACACAAAAATTTAATAAGATCTGTTCTGAGAACCCCAACACCCTGCTCTTAGACTCTTGCATTTGCTTTTTCCTAATGCCTTTCTAATGTATATAGTTGTATGCTTGCATATATTGCTCCGGCATTACAATAACTCAGCATGCATGCTCAGTATTGTATATTGCCCATCCTTATGATAGACGAATCACCTTGTTTTTGGTACAAAATTCTGCTCTAGTAACTCTGGTTAGGAAAATTTGAAGATTAGAAAAGAAACTACCCAACCAGAGGTGTAATAAAGTAAATAAAAATTCATTACAATTCTGAAATATGAAACTAAACTGGTATATAAAATCTGTCAGATCACTACTGTTAGGATTCTTAAAGCATCAGTTCTCTACAGCTACACATATTTTAGATAAATGTGTTAGATACAGATGGAGTTGGTTAACATTTTAATCACCATGACTGAGTGAAAGTAAAAGTTTTTATTAGTTGAAAAATCAATTAATAGCTGAAAACTGATTATCAAGCAGGGCACAGCCACTGTCTGCAATATGGTTTGCCAGAATTGGCTTAAAATAAATTTTTGAAGTGAAGTCTTTGAAATGATTAATTCACTTAAAAGCTATTCTCATAACAACACTTTACATTCCTTGCGAGCCTGTCAAACATCAGAATATAAGGTATTTGTCAAACATTCTGCTAGTAAACATACCAATATATATGTAGTTAGAAAGACTGCAATATATCTAACCAGTCTTATTTTTTTCAGTTTTGGTCTAAACTGTTACCACAATTTTTGAATAATATGACCTTTTATTTGCACAAGTGAAAATGGTAGATTTCTGATGATATCTCTTGCATACAACACAAAAACAGGGTACTCAGAAGGAATTCAGGATATGCTGAAAGTTAAAATAAAATCTGATTGTATTTTTGGAGAAATGTTTTCTAATAGGTGGAACAAGTTTGCCCATAACATAATAGGGAAGCCAGTTTCCCATTAATTCAGTCTGTCAATCTCCTGCTATGAGGAAGCCAGTTGTTAGGAACCACTTGCTTTATTTACTCCATGGTCCTGCTCATATATGCATGAGGAAAAGCATTAGTTTCACTTATCAGGGTTATCTCTAGCCTAGTATTACTTTTTGCTTGCAGTGTACCAATTAAGGGTTCTACTGCATATTTGCCAGTGGTGGGTTTCAAAACTTTTTAGAACCTCTTCTGTAGGTGTGGCCTGCTTTGTGGGAGTGGCTTGCCAGCCATGTGACTGGGTGGGCATGGCCAACTTGTAAAATGTGGTGNTATTCATGTTATTTGTAAATGCAATACAAATATCATAAACTAAATTTTCCATTTTGTTTTATTTTTTTCTGAGTTCCAGAGAAATTTCTTTTTCCAAGATGTGATCAGCATTAAATCTCATTAGGCAAATACCTGATCCCATATTTCTGAAAGCCACATGTTATATTTGCTCTTTTAACTGTATGTCTTTATGTGAATCTTACACTAGAAAAGACTGCCTATCATCAATTCTACTTAGAACTGTTTCTCTGGGTCAGGTGCATTTTGTTTCCAAATAGTTGTAGTTCTAATTGTGCTTTGCTTTTTGCTCTGCTGGTGATTTCCATG